TTGTTTTTACTAGTGATGTGCAAAACTATATATTTTTGGAAGGAAACCAACCAATATCCCAGCAACTAGAGCAATTTGGAGCAACTTCTCTTTTGGGGGCATCTCCATGAGAGGCTCCGCATCAGTAGACGACGTATAGTATGATTAGGGTTTGTAACTCTATTCGTACTCATCTCGAGATTGCTACTTTCTTAATCATTCATCTTATTGCGGATATTTGTGATATTACCGAGATGATTTCCCTTTGTTTGATCTTTGTGTTATTTTGTTATTTCCCTCTCATGCATGAGTAATCCCCCATAGGCATGGGAGATGCAAGAGATCTATCAGATTCATTTTATGCATATTCCGTATGTCATCATTTATGATAATTGTTCTATCATTCATCAGTTGTTGTTTACCTGTGATGAGCATAATGCGTGTTGTCCAATTTAAGGGCCCAAACAACATGATCCAATGACCTACACAGGTAATAAATATTGTTTAGCGAGTTTGTGATCTCCATGTGACATGTGTATGTATCTACAAGGAGCGAAAACAATATGAGAATAATGACGATCTACTACACTTAAAGCATTGGTCTAGCCTTGTGACCTTAATTGAGAAGACGACCATGCTATGGCAACGTCAATGCAGGACAATATGGGAGAACAATTCTAGCATGGATGAGTTCGACCACTCAAGGGTGAACCGCCTATAGAACAAACAATCTACGCACTAGAACCACAACACAAGGTAACTGGTATTACCGTCGCACTGACACGCTTGATGTATACTGCGATCTGAAGTTTCTTTATGCCTAACCTCTCCATTATAGACAACAAACCTTATACTTTCAACCGCTTTACTTTGCATTCTTTACTTTCGTGTTCTTTATTATTCTCGCTGTGATTATCAACTCTTCATCACTCTGTTATTTATTTTACGAGACAATAATAAAATCTATAGATTTTCAAACAATTATTTCGCACAAGACCTTTGACAGCTTGTGTGCGATAGAAACATCCAAATTAATATTCTCCTCCTCTCTTCGTTGGGACGATAACTATTTGAGATACTTACACATATTGAAGGTGCTACACAACCACGTGTGTCTTGCAGACCATCACGCGACAAGGCGGCTGCCCACCTGGCGTCGAGCTCCTATGGCGGTGGCTCTGGCTGCCACAGACTGTCCCATCCTACCCCCTCTGGTTGCATTCAGGCTGGGGCGTATGGGTGCCTTGCCTCCCCGGCAGTAGATGCACACCCAACAACGCACCACCTGCAGGTCCATGGCATACATGGGTGAAAGGCCAGTCGACCCGGTTGGGCTCATTGGATCTATTCCGCAGATGTTGCCTCACAGCGAGATGAGTATCGTGGTGGTTCTCAGGATCTTTTAGCGTGGTGTCTTCATGGGAGGTGTGTGGACTAGCCGAGGTGTTGTGCGTGGGGGTGTTGGTATTGGGCGGTGCTCCAGGCAAAAGCTTGCCGACAGACGACGTGGATGTTTGTGAACGTCATTTCACCTCCTTGGAGGCGCCGCTGTGGATTCCATCCTACGCACACCCTCGGATCCAACTCTTTGGGTGAAAGCCTAAGGCTCGTTCATCTTTGCATACCCTATTCCCATAAACTTGATATGAGGAAACGTTTATCTAGTGGGATCTTGAGCTGTTTAAATTTTATCTCACATCAGTGTTATTTCTTCATTGGGAAGGATTGGCGTGGTCGAAGCACACCTTTATGTTCCGGTACAGCTTAATAAATCACGCACGAATATCAGCTGATTCCACTCCGCTAGAAACCAGAGACGATAGAAATCCTCTTTCAACCTATGACATGTTAATTTGTTTTAGAATCATCTTGCACAGGGAGATAAAACCCAGAATATTTTTTATTAAAATACAAGCACAAGTAATAGAACTTGCTTGGGATCAGTACTAAGCATGTTACTGTTTAGTACAGTAAGTTGAGCTGTATGCAACTGGATGGTAATAGCATGCATGTCAAGGGGTGGACAAGATTGAGTAATCACTAGTTAATTGCTTCTCCCAAATTGACTATTGTTCTTAATCCTATGGCTGGTTGTTCCATTGGCATTCGCTCTGCTCAGTATAAAGGACAAAACTTGCATTGATCTTGGTCTTGCTAGACCATGAAAGCAGGCGCAGATAACTAGTTTGGAGCCTATTGCATGACATTATTCTCATCTTGTCCTTAAACATATTCGGCTATATGAACCTGGTGTTCAATTGGGTTGTCGAACCAATTTTTGTTTGTATTGGGTTGTTTGCATGTCAATGCATAGGCCTAGAAAAACTCTTTGTACTCCGTGGCACCATCTAGATACGACAATAAGGAGAGAAAGCATTGTCTAAGAAACACAACCACCTTCCTGTAAGTGCATTCTTCCCCATAAGGAAACCAACATTGGAACGAGAAACTCGAAATTCAAAACTCAAAATTTGAAATCAAAACTTTTGAAGAACTCCGAGGCTTAAAATTCAGGATGTAAACAACGATTAAGTTTTAACTAGAGAGTAAATGTGTCCAAAATTTAAGCTGGAAGCTCTTAAACCACCAAACGTCCCTTTTAAAGAGTAAATCCAAGTTTATACACGTTGTTTTGGTACTATTGACACAAATGACCCCATTTAAGAGATTTTCGTACATATTAACTTATTTAGGGAAAACTATGCCACATTTTACCCTTTTAAAGAAATTTAGCATGTTCTGTCAAGCGGTCCTAACAGTTAGGGTACACATGACTTGCCTTCCTGGTCCGACTCCCCGCACCGGTTGGCTAGGTCGAACCACAACCCGACTCGAGGTGCACCACTCTCGCACGCTCCCCTCGCTCTCGCGCACGATGAGAACACGATGGTGGAGGGTGCTTAACTTGATTGACGCGGTGGTTCCTTCGCAAGGGGAGGAGATGGGCGGGGCGTGACGGGGTCAGGCTCGACCATGTACTGCAGAAGAGGCACACGACGCGGGGTGCACGGAGCCGAACCGGAGACCAAACCAGGCGAGCGTGCGCGTGGAAGAAAATAGTTGCAGAGGAAAACTCGTCGAGCGTGCGCCTGGCTTGTCATGAACCAGGCGAGCATGCGCCTGGCTTGCCTTCAAGAATCGTTGTTGGACATCGGATAGACTCGCGCGACGAGGGCTCCCACACCAAAACGCATGCCCACTTTGCGACTAAGAGGAGGAGACCATACAACATCTACTAATCAACTGTACATTCGCACGACAGGTATGGCACTGGTTCGTGGAGGGTACTGGTAGACAAGGCTTCGCCCCTAGGATAGACGAATCGTTGGAGGAGTGGTGCATCGGGCAGGAGCAAGACCGGCAGCACCGGAGAACCACACACGCTAAATGCCTACTTGGCATGTGGATGATATGGAAACACCGCAACGACGTCGTCTTCAACGGAGCAACGCAAACTGTCGCAACCTGCATCAGACATATCAAAGAGGAGGGAAGCTGGTGGGTGAAGGTTGGCCTGATCCGAGAGGTGGAGGGCTTACCGTGGGTGGCTCCTGAGTAGTTGGGTGCGTGAGTTGGGTGGAGTTGGGCAAAGCCTAACTGTAAATATCTGTACAGACGAACAATTTGGGTCGTTTTTCCATCTCTTCTATAATGAATGCTACGCATGTTTGTGCGTATTCGAGAAAAAAGAAAAACTCGTCAACATGACAAGTCATGTGTACCTTGACAACTTGGAACCACTTGACAAAACATCCTGAAATTTAAAAAGGGTAAATGTGGACACCTATTCCAAAATATCCCTAAATGGGGTGTTATTGATGAAAATGTATTAAATGGGTTAAATCCTGTTAAAATAAGGGTTTAAATGAATTAATCGTTCTGAACGAAAATCCCTTATACCTAGATTTTGGTTTGAGCTGCATCTCTGGTAAGGTGAAGCACATGCAGCTGTGTTTTGCACATTGACCGGGCCATAGAATGGTTATAACTCTTGACATATTACCTCACGAGGAATCTCGAGATTGGTAGGTAGCTAACAGGCCGATATAAAAAATAATGCTCCCATGTTTGTTTTGAAGCTGAATCTTGATCCAACCCCACACAGCGTCGTATGAAGAACGTAGCCTGAAGAATCCAAACTCAATAAAACAAGCAACTTGAGGACACCAATCTTCTTTCTAAGCTGTGCCATTGACATTCTTTGCTGTAACTGTCTCTTTCAGTTTGTCGTTCTCCATGTACAGAGCAGGTCACAGGCATTGCTAAATTAACAATGATCCATGACCAATCTTGGACCCATGACCTGTTTGTTCTGGAATCAGCTTGTGGTACCTGTCTAAGCCCCTCCTTTTCAATTAAAATACAGGTACAAGTGGTAACCATTAAATACCTCTACCTACTTGCTAGGGCCTAATTAACCTAGGTTTTCTAGAGCATTGTGTATACAGCAGCACTAGCTAGGTTGGGATTAGTACTGATTAAACATGTATTTGGTGAAGTAGATTGAGCTGGATGCAGCTGGGTGCTAGCATCTCAAGGGGGATTACAAGAGATTGAGTAATCAGTGGTACAGTTCATTGCTTCTCCCAAAGTGACTGTTTGTTCTTAATCTTTTGTCTGGCTGTTCCGCGGAAGAACCCAAAACATATGCTTATGGGTGTAAGCGTCTGATCTGCCCAGCACAAAGGGACAGAGAATTGCATTGATATTGATTTTGGTAGATCTTGGAAGCTGGCGCATGAAACAAGTTTGGAGCCTATTGCATGGCCATATTCTCATCTTGTACCTTCTTTTGTTTATTATAATGTAGAAAAATACAGATTTTGATGATCAATAGTTGTGGTTTGAGATGCTTTCTTGGTCTGAATCCTGTGAAGTTCCCAAACATGACTTGAAAGGATTTGCAACCGGAAAATTTGAATCATGAACTGATGATCAACGGGAAACAGAGGTGCTACAAAGAGAAGAGAATTAAGGGAGCAAAACTAGCAGCAAAGTTATGTTACACACCACACCACAGACTATGTGATTATGTCAGTAGCCACTGTATACATCACCACAAAGCAAGGCAGTATAGCCAATGGGTTGAACACAGAGAGTTCATCCAAATCTGAGCACGAACTGACGCTGTCACCGCTAGACTCCTCTGAAGAATTGCTGCTGTTGACGAGCTTCTTCACTCTCCCTGCCACCACCCTGCACACCAGCATCGCCCTCTTCTCGCCGCCGCCGCTGCCGCCCGACAGAGGCGTCTGCGTCTTGTCGTGAGCACGTCCGCTTGTCGCCATCGTCGCAATTTTCCCATCGCCGTCGACCCTGGCGATAACGAACACAAAACTTGTCAAGCTGAAGGCCCTGAATTTTTTTAGCTCTGAACTCTGAACATTTGCACCGGTGGTTCAGTACCTGAAGCCGTCTCTGATAATGCTGCACAGCTTGCAGTGCTGCGGAGACGACCGGCAGAGGGAGGTGGCACCGGCGAGGCCGAGGGAGCACGTGAAGGTGGTGCAGTGGAACCGGAGGATCTCGTTCCCGTCGGCGGCGCACCGTGGGAAGCTCCTCCTGGCCAGCTCATCGGTGCTGCTCGCCGCAATCGCCTTGACGCGCTCCCTATACTGCTCGAACCTCTCCACGGTCTTGCCGGAGCTGTGCACCTTCAGAATCCTCTCGATCCTGCAAATCGGCGCCGCCCTCGGCTTCCCTACGAGCCAGCTGGACTGGAAGATGATCTCCACCACGTTCCTGCTCGTGTCCTCCGCGCCGAGCTCCGAAACTGCGATCATTCATGCATCAATGGATTTACATCAAAATTATATATGATTGAAGAGTGTAAAGCTTTAATCAGCTGCGTTTTTGTTTACCTGCATGGCGGGTTGCTCGGTGGAGCTCGAGGGAGTCGGCTTTGACGAAGAACTCGTCGCAGTCGGAGCAGGGGAGCATGCCGGCGCCGCCGACGAGGCTTGTCCTGGGGTCGAGCACCGAGTGGCACTCGTAGTAGCAGCCGGAGAGCTTCCTGAAAGACCTGGAGCCGGCAACGATGGACGAAAGAGGCGACGAGAGAGCGGACGACGACGACGACGACGACGAGCTGACGGTGGTCGCCGTCGTAGCCACCGAGGTCTCCGAGTTGAACGACGACGACGCTGACACGACCGCGCCGGAAGCCACCACGGGCACGGACATGATGTCATTGTCCGGAGCCTTGAGAGACCTACTGCTGCTCGAGACATTGCGGCCGCTATTCTTCCTCTCGCTTTCCCTGCTCAGCACAGCGCTCTCCTTCGTGCCGCAGATTGACCCTGGGCAAGTCATGCTCCTGCCAATGCTGCTGACACTCCTTTTCGTTGTGGTCGTCGTCTTCTTCCTCTCGCTCCTGCTGTTCTTGCTCTCTACTGCTCCTGCTGGCTGGCTTCTGCTCTTCAACGCCATGGCTCTCCAGAAGGAAGAACCTGATTTCCTCTGCTCCTTTTTCTCTCCTCCTATGCTCATCTTCTTGCCAGCTGCAGGTGCATCCATTGGGGTTGGGGAGGAAGGAGAAGTAGCTGGAAGGCAGACCTATCTTAAACCTTGTTGGGAGGGAGGGAGAAAGGGGTGCTGAGATTAGGGAACGGTGTCTGAAGCTTTGCTCAGTAAACAAGCTTTAGGCTCCATTGCTCCATGATTAGTTTAGAGTATTGCCCTTAATGACCCCCTTTTGGTGTGGTGTGCGCACTGTAATAATCTGGTAATGGTGGGTGGTGGGAGTGAATGGAAAGGCACGCACACAGGGTTGCAGATGCCAAGGAGATAAAAGCATGGCATGGGCAGCTTGCAATCATGCTTCCAATCCTGACCATGTGGTATGATGTCTACCCCCTCTGTGTGTTCGTGTCTTTTTTTGAGAATGGCGAATAAACCAGAGGGAATAGTCATGTGATCTCGATCTCAAGATTATAACAAAAAGGATAAATGTACATCTCATGGTTTAGGAGAGTGAAATGCAAAACACCATCACAATAGCGGTCTCATTAGCAGGAAACCACCACTTTACAATGTGTGCCATAAATCACTGCACGGAAGAATTGACTATGGCAAAAATAAAATTGAGTATTATTTTGAGTGCGTTCTCACATGGCAAACCCCTCACGTGACGATAGGGGTGATGGTGTGCCGTTAACGGCCAGTTGGGGCCGGCTTGGTCAGAATGTCCCCCTTTAGGGAACGCTATGCCTTCGTGGAGAGATGGAGACGTGAGCAGCGAGTAGGGATGGCAGTTTTGCCCATGGGTATGGGTACCCGTGGGTACCCTACCCGAAAATACTGGGTATGGGTGAGACTTTCTACCACTTCATACCCATGGGTATGGGTATCCATACCCACAAAATGCATGGGTAGGGTATGGGTATGAAATTATACCATGGGTAACCCAATGGATACCCAGAAAATAAATAAATAAATAAAACCCTATAATATGCAGATAAATAATTATCTTAAGTTCTTAACTAGCCCATGGACCACTAATTAAGACCTTTAATTGTGTGTCAATTGTCATTGTGAATTTTTGATGTAAGTGCAAACCTGATTGTTATGGATGGGTACCTAAATTAAGACCCTTTTCTCATCTTACTTTTGTCATGTCAACGCTATATATTGTACCCACCGGATACCCATTGGGTATAGGATACCCGACGGGTATGGGCATGGGTACCAATTTGTACCCATGGATATAGAAGTGGGTGGGTATAGAAAAAAGATTTGCGTAGAAAAGGGTCGTACCCGCCCATACCCTACCCATTGCCATCCCTAGCAGCGAGGAAGATCCCCACTCCCAGTACACCATCATGGATATGAATTTGTGGGTAAGTTTCAGACTGCTCAAGAACGAGACATTTGGGTTAGGTTTAGGGTTAGGCTTTGGATTTGGGGAGTTTGGGTTTGAGCTCTCATTTGAGCCTCTTTGGAAGGATTTGTTGGTTTATTTAGATTCTGTCATTGTAGGAGAACCATGAGACCATTGTGGATGCATCTTTCTGTGGCATGGTAGCGGATCCGTCCATCAAATGCGAGCTTCACCAGGCCAGTTCCAAGAAATGTGTTGCTTTTGATGGCATAGACACCCGAAGGAGATTTTAGGGTTGTGCAATGCAGGTTATTTTTGCTTGATTTCACTTTGTTGTTTCACCATTTTGCTATGTAGTTGCTTGATTTCAATGTGTGTGTAGTGACGAGTCATCTGAAACTGAATCTTGTTCATTTTGATTGGATTAAACTCAATCTTGTTGTTGTTAAAGGTTAGCCTGTAGTTTAATGAATTTGAATTTTACTGAATGTTGTTGTTCAAGTTCACTTTGTACTTTAGTGTATCTGAATTGTACTAAATATTGTTGTTCAAGTTCAGTCTATAGTTAAGTCAATCTGAATTGTACTGTCATTATGTAGTTAAATAGTAGTATATGTTAAAGATATAAGCTTGATTTATTGATTTGTACTTTGGTAAACAAGCATTTTGAAATAGTGTTGTCAGTCTAAACAATGATATTCTTAGGTGTGTTGAGTGCTATATTTTAGTTTTGGTGGAACAATTTAGTTTAGTTGTGCTTTGTTGTATTTGGATATCATTTAGATGTGCTAAGTTTGGTTGTTCTCTGTCAGTTATGTTGATGTGTGTCAATGCACTGTTTTTGTGGATGCCTTTTGCTTATGCATATTTTGGCTGGTAATGCCCACTGTTAATTAACTGGTAGTTGTTCATGGTCTAGTCAATTTAAATGAATCTTACTGTTTTCAGTTCAATTATTATTTGCAGGGAGGCCTAGACTATGTAATGGTTGATTGGGTTGTTGGGCCTTAGCCTGTCATACTGCAAAGGTGTCTAACAAAACTTTGGGAGATGTTTCACGAGAAAAACTATGGTAGGCTGATTGACATAGAGGCTTATAAGAGAGAGCTAGCCAAGCTTAAGAATCAGAATGAGTTCCTATTCAATCAGTATAGTGATCTTGTTGCAGATGTTGGCAAGCTATTTGATTGGAAATATGAAAAGGAGAAGCAAATGGACTATGAGAAGTCATCAAAGGATGCTGAAGATGTGAAGAAAAAGATGGAAGGGCTAGAGAAGAAGTGTAAGATGGAGCTGGAGAAGGAGAAGCTGAAGTTGGCCAAGGAGCAAAGGTGCATCCTTTATTTTCAGGCATATATCATCAGGAACACCAGGAAGGTCATGAAGGAGATCAAGGAGGATGGAGATTTTCTTCAAGAAGAGAAGAAGAAGGTTGAGACTGTGATTGGTGACTTGCTGAAAGTTGGGCATGGTAGCAAGGAGAAGCTGGAAAAGATCAAGTCCATGTAGAGGAATGAAGTGGAAGCTTTGGAGGTTAAGTACATATTAGGCCCATATATATAACAGGCCATGGAAGCTTTGTAGACCTACTGATCTTAGTTGTAATGGCTAATGCAAACAATGTGGTTAGGTGTTAGGTTGCAATCACATGGGTTATGGCCCACTAGTTGTGTTGAATTCTATGTTATGTTATGATGAAATTATCCTTGTTATGATCATGTGATGTTGTCTAGCTAATGATTATCCCTGTTATGATCCTTGTTATGATGCGAAATGATTTTTAGTGGGCTTTTTTCACTGTTAATGAAACCCACCTACCTACCACCCACCCCTGGAGTGTAAATAAAAAAGCACTCCGCCCCACACCAGTCCAGTCAGAACCCCTCCCCACATGCCCTAGCAGCCACACCACCCCACTCCACCCCTAGCCTCCATGGATCCTAATCCAAAAGAAATCACTGATGAAGAGGAGGAGGCACCAGCTCTGAGGATGCCCAAGCTGGCGGCGCGAGGGCAACCGACGCAGAAGGCATGGGCTAAGAGGGCTCTAACGGCCATAGGCTACACCGTGGAGTACATGCGTCGGCTCGCCAACATGATATTAGGGTTCTGCAATGAAGGAGAGTATGAGCAGTGCTTCCTCAATGACCATAGTTGCACCTATGATCAGATCATCCAGTGGGCGAGAAGGAACACAAGTCTGGTTCCACATCTAGCTACAAGGCAACACTGGACGAATATTTTTTTCTCCTGAAGCTTTGTGTCTGAATTTTTGACCAAGTGTCTCTGAATTTAGTTACCTTTGAAGATAGTCAATTATGTGTCATGTAGCAGACTATGTTCGTCGGTCTAATTTTGTTTGTCAATTATCTGGTGTTATTCAATTATATTTGTTGTAGCAGAATAGATGAAGGGGTTTAGTTGAATTTGTGTAGTCAAGTCTGGTGTCCTTAGTCGATTATGTCTGATGTACCAGAAATGATGAATGTAGTTGTGTACTTGCAATCCAATCTTATGTTTCACTAGTTGAATGTGTGCACCTTGGTCCCACACATGATAGAAACTGGAAATTAGCTTGCCTAGTTCTAGTTTCATTTGTTCAAAACCTAAAGAGTGACATCTTGGTCCAATAACATGAATCAAGCATAGAACATCCAAAACTACATAATACAATACAAATGTAGGTAACATAGTGCATAGCACAACACAAATATAGTAGCTTATTACATACCACAAATATAGTAGCTTATGCTTGTTACATGTCTTTCCAAAGCTTTACTTGTTAATCTCTATATCTTTATCTAAAGCTTTGATGTATGTTTTCATCAATTACCAAAAAGGGGGAGATTGAAAGCACAAGTGCTCCCTTGGTGATTTTGGTAATTTATGTCAACATATCTCTTGTCGGACTAATACATTTACCTAGTATATTTCAGATAAGTTCAACAGTGGAGTGGCATGGACTAGAGGAAGTGGATCCCTCAAAATGCTAAGGACAAAAGGATTGGTTAAAGCTCAAAGCTCAAGACTCTACATTTTCTATTTTAGTGATCCAAGATCACATTGAGTCTATAGGAAAAGCTAATACTATCAAGGAGGGATGAGGTGTTGCTTAATGAGGTTCTTGCTCAAAGTGCTTAGTGATATGCTCAAAAGCCCTCAACTACTTTCTCACATACACATATGACCTAAACCAAAAGTCAAACTCGGCCCCACCAATTCTTTCTATCTGGCGCCACCGAGTTCAGATGTCATACCATTGCCACAAACCCTAGGCAAATCGGTCTCACCGATAGGGATCTCGGTCTCACCGAGATGGGATTGTAATCTCTATGGTTAGGTTATTACCAAAATCGGTCCCACCGAATTTGAGTAATCGGTCGTACCGAGATTACAATGTAAACTCTATGTTTCCTTTTCGTAATGTTTTGGTCCCACCGAGATGAGCGAATCGGTCCCACCGAGTTTGCCTGACTAGGGGTGGAAACGGATCGGATGCGGATCGGATAGTGCTCTTACCACTTCCGTTTTCATATTTTCAAAATGAATACGAATGCGAATACGGATGTTATCGGATACGGATCCGGCTCGGATGTTATTCGAATACGGATACGTATCGGATATTTTCTTGATTCGGAACGGATACGAATAATAGCGACATATTGCTTAAGTATACTAGTCAATAGCTATGTGACAT